GGTTCTCCTTGATCCAGCCATGAGCAAGCAGTGAGGCTGGACATATTGGTACCAAGAGTTCACCTGAGAGGTCTGAATTTTAACCTTTTGCAGTGAGAAATGGTGGCGTGGGGATGGGCAGAGCGGGAGAAAAGCCAGTAGGGGCTCTTTACAGAGGAGGGACGATAGAATTCTTAACTATAAGACTACAGTAGTGACAGAGAAAAAGGAATAAATTGGGGAAATTCTTCCAAAGTCAGTGGCTCTTGGTGTCGACTTGAATGTTAGTGGGGAGGCCGAGTCAGGGATTACTCTAACGCAGCTGGTGGATGGACCAGGGAGCCGTTCTCTGAGCTGGAGAATCAGGTGGGAGAGCTGGTTTGAGGGGTGAGCTTACTAGTTCAGTTTTAGGTGCGTTGGGTTAGAGATAGCTCTGGTACGTCCCTGGGTGGTGGGGATTGGAGGACTGGGTTTGATGACAGAAGTGGGGCTTGGTGTATGTCTAGATTAGGGACTTCTTGTGGGGGGCGGTTGGGGAGGGTATGTAGGTACTAGTTGAAATAAAATGGCTAGGTGGGAGTTGGGGTGAGAGAGTGGCCCACTCACTGTATGCTGACTGGAATTCATGTCGGTACATGAGTTCATGATTTTACATTTCCTCCCGAAGTGGACCGTTTTCTCTGACGAGCTCCTGTTGTTACTGCAGCACTTTCCTAGAGCCAGCTCCCTTTTCACACTGCACTGCCTCCCTTGCTGTGCTTCTCTTGCCTTATCGTGGCCTCGGACTGTGATACCTGTTCTTTCCTGTTTACGGAAGTCAGGGGAGGAGGGACGGAGACCTGGCCTCTTACATGGGTGTGGGCTGCCCACTGAGTCTTAGATCAGGTAGGCAGGAGTAGCCAAAACTGTTGCACCTCTCCCTCCCCATTGCATGGCTGTGGTGTGGCTGAATCCCTATATACCACAGCTAGCAGCAGCTCCAGACAGGGCATCATTTAAGTCACCTCATCCCCCCAGGCATGCTCAGGGTCGAATATTTAGTATGTGGAGGGAAAGCACAAGACAAAATCACCTGTGCTGCCACAGTCCCGAAAGAGCAGTTGCAGTTCTCATTTCTTTATAATAAAACTGCTACCCATCTCAGGGGTTTGCATGGTGCTTCTTAAAAAGATATCCAGTAATTCGTATAGTCAATAAATATTTATTAATATTTAGTAAGTGCACCCAGCAACTTTTCTGGGCACTTAGCCATACCACAGTAAACAAGACAAACAAGGTTCCTGTCTCCATTTTAGTTGGGGAGGCAGTCAGCACATAACTAAATAAGATAGTGTTTGGTGCTTCTGGAAACTGAGGCACGTTACTGGGCTTCAGAGTGACTGGGAGGGGATGCAGCTGCTTTAGAGGGGGTGACATGGAAGCCTTCTCTTGAGGCAGTGATATTGGTCTGAGACATGAATGAAGAGAAGGTGTCAGTCCTGTGAAGACTGGGTGGAAAAGGCTTCAAAGCAGGGACAGAGTGAGTGCAAAGGCTCTGAGGTGGGAGCTTGGACTTTTGGAAGAGTAGACAAAAGGCTAGTGTATCCAGAGGGTAGCATGTGAGGGGGATAGCAACAAGAAATTTGGTCAAAGAAGTTGTCAGGGGCCAGATCCTGTAGAGTCCTGTAAGCCATAGCAGGGAATGTAAGATTACATTCTATTTCTAATACTTGCAATGAAAAGTCATTGGAGGATTTTAATCTGAGTGATACATTATAATTTTCACTATTAAAAGATAAGCCTGGGCCGGCCCCGTGGCTTAGCGGTTAAGTGCGCGTGCTCTGATGCTGGCGGCCCGGGTTCGGATCCCGGGAGCGCCCCGAGGCACCACTTCTCCGTCCAACGCGAGGCCGAGTCCCACGTACAGCAACTAGAAGGATGTGAACCTATGACGTACAACTATCTACTGGGGCTTTGGGGGGAAAAAACTGAATAAATAAAATCTTTAAAAAAAAAAAAAAAAAAAAAGATAAGCCTGTAATATTATAATGGGTTGAATGGTGGCCCCCAAAGTTTCTGTTCGTGTCCTAACCCCTAGCACCTGTAAATGTGATCTTATTTGGAAAAAGAGTCCTTGCAGATGTAATTAAGGATCTCGAGATGAGATCATCTGGATTATCTGGATGGGCTCTAAATCCAAGGACAAGTGTCCTTATATGAGGCAGAAAGGAGAAGATATAGGGGGTAAGGCCATGAGATGGAAACAGAGATTGGAGTTATGCAGCCATAAGCCAAGGAAGCCACCTTCCTTGAAGCCTGGAGCCACCAGAAGCTGGAGGAGGCAAATAAAGATTCTCCCCTAGAGCCTTTGGAGGGTGTACAGCCCTGGTGACATCTTGATTTGAGACTTCTGGCCCCCAGAACTATGAGACAATACACTTCTGTTGTTTTAAGCCACCAAGTTGGTGGTGATTTATTAAGGCAGCCACAGGAAGCTAATACAAGTGTCGCAGAGACTTGGCATACATTAGCGGGTGGAGGAGTGGAATTGTGGGGACGAAGTGGGAGGCTGTTAAAGTAATTCAGGAGAAAAATCATGTGGCTTGCATCAGCAGCAGTGAGAATGATGAGAAGTGCTCTGGTTTAGAACATATTTTGGAAGTAGAACCAACAGGATTTGTTGATAGATTAGATGTTGGGGACAAGGAAACCAAGAATTTTTAAAAATCTACTTGGTATTTGGCCTGAAGAACTAAACACATGCTAGTACTGTTACCTGAAATGAGGAAGACTAGGGGAGGGGCACATTTGGGCTGAGGTTTTCAGGGTGAGATGATCGTGGGGGCAGAGGTGGTCCTGAGTATAACATAATCAAGAAACCTTTGGGGACATATTAATTTTGAGATGCCTGTGTCACATCCAAGATGGGGTTTTGAATAGGATGTTAGGCATGAATTTGAAACTCAGTAAAGAGAGGAGGGCAAGTAAAATTGGGAGTCGTTAGTATATAGATCAGTGGTTCTCAACCCTAGCTGTACATTGGAGTCTCTGAGGGAGCTTAAAAAAAGAAAAGATACCAATACCTGCTCTCCATCCCAGACCAATTGAAATGAATTCTCTAAGGTATTTAAGAGCTCCCCAGGTGAGTCTAATGTGCAGCCAGAGTTGAAGAACCACAGGTGTAAAGATGATACTTAAAGCCATGGGGCTGGATGCCATCACCCAGCACAGCTGCCGAAAAGATAAGGTGCTGCTAATAGGTCACAAGCAGACTAGACTCCATTTTTCCTCACCTCTCCGAGTGGCCATAGTTTTTGAGTTGGCACCATGTTTCTCTTTCTGTGGGCCGTGAGGCGAAAGAGATGGGAAAGCGAGTGAGTAGATGGAGTAGAGTCTGAAAGAGCAGGAGGACTCAGTCTGGTCTCATGGTGCCTAGAAGTTGAGAAACATGAGGATAGAATTAATTTTGGGATTTCGCAAGCTAGGAGCCATTGGTGACCTTGAGAAGACAGACCTGTTTCCACAGAGTGGTGGTTTGGATGGAAGCTCGTATTGAACCAGTTGAAGGGCAGTGTGTTTTGGGCCCATAAATCTTCCCACCAAACCCGGAGCAGTGAGGGAGCCTCTGATGGGCGCACTGCTCTTGCCTGCCCCCTTAAAATGCAGCATCTATGTGAGTTAGAATATTTTATTCAGAGTGACTTTGTTGAACCAAATATTTAATCTTTTGGAATGTGGTACCTAAATCCCCTTATTAATGTGTCAGTTTTATAAACGGTATGTCATCTGCACCTCTAGAGGTTCATTTCATTTAAATTTTTTTCTCTTGAATGTGACTTTGCTCCACATGAAATCCTCTTGGTGTTTCGCTGGGTACGTGATTGCTTAGCTTCTGCCGGTCGTTTCTCTTGAGCGAGGTTGTTCTAGTGTGATGAAACTCAGCTGCTTCATACATGAGTGTAAATAATGTTGTCAGCCTCATCGCCTGGTACACAGTCAGGGCTCAGCGAACATTAGTTGAAACTTAGGGCTAAAATAACCCTATGGCAGATACCACAACTGTCCAGGGAGAGCGAGGTGAGTGTTGTGAGGTCCCCCGGGAGGAGGGGACCTGAGCCACGGTGGTAGATGGGAGAGTTTCTGCCCTTTACGGCCCTCACCCTCACCACCGTGCTCCCCCTCTGTTGAGCCCTCGGTGCTCCCGCTCGGGCCCTATACACGTAGGTGCCACAGTGCTGAACGGGAGGGCTGCCTTGCCTTTGGGGTTTTGGCTACAAATACGCCATTCCACTGGCACTCTGCTCTCAAAGAATCCTTGTTGCACCCGTGGTAGTTTCATATGATGGAAGTCAGGCCCAGCATGTGTGTGGGGAGCTGTGTTGGAGCTGATTGCAGTTCCTACAGCTTTAGAAAAATAGCATTTTCCGGAACAAATAGCATTTCCGGAACACTGCACATCAGTGACAGGTTGGCAGACCCACGGGCGCTTCCTGGACGGCACCCCTCCAGCCTGGCAGATGACCTGGGCTCCTCTGAGAATTCTGTCCCATGGACAGGAGCAGACAACTGATTGACTTTAAATCCCTGGAAATTATCCAGGAAACCCCAGAATTATTCCCTCTATCCAGTCAGCCTCAGTACTTCTGAGTTGTCTGTGGCCTGGGATTTTGTGTCCTCCAAGAAGAAGCTGAGGTTTTAACTCATCTCTCTGAGGAGGCTATGGACTTGTTACAGATTTGGAGGGCTTTAAACTAAGAAATCACGTTTTGCGGTACTTTAGTGTTTGTAAGTGCCACACCTCTGTACTATAATTTATCTTCTGTTTCTGTGGTAAGTATACTTCCAATACTGTCTGTACAAAAGAATTTTAAGGAGTAAAGAAAATCTAGAACTTCCTCATATAGAGTTTGTCTAGATGAAAAACTGTGATCTTACATCCACATTTGAAAGCCTTAACTTTTTTATTTATTATAGGTTATTTTCAAATATATACAAAATTAGAGAGACTTGTATAATGAGTACTCTGTGTACCCACAAGCCAGCTGCCAGCACTCTGAATCTTGCCATTCTTGTTTCATCCATCCCACATGCCTCCCCCACCTTCTTTTTATTTTTTCTGGCATATTGTATTAGTACATTTTTTGCAAGGCGATACTGTGGTGACAGGGCCCCTAAATCTCAGTGGCTTACAATAACAAAGGTGCATGTCCTTTGTAAGTACAAGTGGCTCTGCTCCTTACCTTCTCTCCTCTGGGACCAAGGCAGAAAAATGAGCCTCTGCTTGTGGAAGACCCCACTCACGGTTGTTTCTGAAGAGGATCTTGCACCAATTTGGCCGTAACTGAGAGCCAGGATAGACAAGATTTCCTAGAAGAAGTCTGTCAGTGTTGTCTGACCCTTAGGAGAAGAAGAAAGGTGTGTTTTTCCACTTAGTGTGACAGCATTCCTATCAATTAATCTGTACTCTAGGGGAAGGGAGTTAACATTTGAAGTTCCCTAATTAGGACTATATACTCCAGGGAAAGTTAGTTAGCATTTGAAAGACCTGAACTAGGAATCCCCTCTCCTAAGGATGTCTCAGCAAGTCCCTAACTATCCAGATTAGAGAGTCCATTAATTAGCATAAGGAGTGTTAGAAGTGTTTTTCTTTGGTAGGATGGGTGGTTTCCAAGTTATATAGATTGACTAGAAATATTGTTCGTCTACTCTTGCCTGAAGGAGTATAAAATCTTTGTGAACCCAACAAATGAATAGCCTTCACTGTGGTATTCTAGGTCTAGGACTCTGTCCTGTTCAATGTGCTGCCACTTGAAGGATCCTGAGGATTCTGTCACCTGATTTGACCAGAAGGTAGTTGAAATCTGGCTTCTAGAATAGTGTTGCATCTGCCTCCACCAAACCTTTCAAGTAACTACTTGTTCTAGTACCTAAAGGAGAGAGAGCTTGAACTTCCCTGAGCTTACAACGGGTTGTGTGACTATTTTGTGCCTCTTTGTTGTGATGTACCACCTAGTAGAGAATTTATGGGAGGGGACCTACAGTTCTTACCTACCTTTGATCATTGGGATCCACTGGTCTCTACCTATATAGGAATGTACTTGTGGTGAATGGCCACCATATTGGCTCACTTTACAATGAAGAGAGTGAGAACTTGAGAACGAGCCTTTGGGTTTTTCTGTTTTGGTGGGGTGGGGGGCCGGTCATTAGTGTCCTCCCAAACTACAGAGTGACCACAAAGTTCCTATATATCAGATTGTTCCCTAAGTGCTGTTGTTAGGTCTTTACAAGGACTACTTTAACCACCAGTGTGGAAGAAGATGTCTTGAAGGATGTGGGAAAAATTAAAATGTGTGCAGAGAACAGAGGCGAAAATATGGACAACTTCTAACTAGTGTGCCTAGGAACAGTGTGGCCAATCTGAAGTGTAATATTTTCAAGATAATTCACTTAGTTATGTCTTTCCGCATCAGTAGAAGAGTTTACCTTCTCTGTACTTCATATGTACCAGCATCTGTGCTAATTGCTTTACACGAATTATTTTATGTAATCCTCCCTCCATGAGGGAGGAAGTATTATTCACGTTTGACAAATGAGGCAAGTAAGGCATAAAGTTTCTCAGGGCCACAGCCAGTACTAAGCAGAGCCAGGATTCAAATTTAGGACGTCAGATTCCTCAGCGTTTTCCCCTAAGCACCACCTTTAGTTTACAAATGTGACATCACATAGGACCTTTGTTGTTTGCACCTCCCTCCCTGTGTTCTCAAGGGTCGAGAGCCTCAAAGTCTTTAAAGTCTAATGGAAAAGAAAAAAAAAAAAGTTTACTTTATTCCAGGAACCTCTGCCTCCAAAAGGTGGAGATTTTCCCACCAAGGTGAAGCGGACACTTAACATTTTCCTCCCAGAGTCACCAGAAGCCTTGGGACATCACTACTTTACATCCCTGTAAAGGGAGGAGTGGAGATGTGGTTCAATCCAGGAGGCACCTAGGGCTTCCCTGCCCCTTTACACAATATGAGAGTGTAGGACCACTTTGATTTCTGGGCTGGAGTTAAGCTTTGGGCCAAGCAAGATCTATATTGATTATCTGCGGGGTGGGGGCTGGAAATTCAGCATCAAGTAAATGGTGTGTCTTGTCATCCAGCAGTTCTTCCATTACCTTTAGAGCATCTTCCACAGGGCAAGGTGGCCAAATGGTTCCCAGGGGAAAAGAAATTCTGAGTTGTCTGCACAGCATCCCTGCCGGGGGGGAAAATGCCTACAGCCTGAATTGGAAAACCCTATTCTAAAAGCGCATCCCTGGGAAGCCTTTACAATAGGATCACTTTTAGGCCTCAGGGAAGTGATGGCTGCAGGATAATTATGGCAAACCTGAGGGAAGTGGCAGGTGGAGGAAATGTTGCTTTGGTTAGTAGATCAGAAAGCCTCGTTTAAAATTTTGGGGCTTTCAGAAAAACTAGACTGTTAGTTCTGTGGCGGTCTTCAGCTTTTCTTCACTGCGTTGTCTTGTCAAAATTTTGAAGAAATGGTCAAGGATGAGTGAGAGGGGAAAATAAAAATAAATAATAAAAAAGAATGTAACGTGTGATTCCTCAGCTGTGCCGTCTTCCACAATAATCAGGCTTTGGGTCAGGGCTCTCTCTCTTCAGATGTCTCAGGGGTGGAAGGGTGGATCTGTGTGTGACAGACATGCAGGTGGAAGCACGGGCACGGGCAGGTGTGCTGACCCCTACACAAGGACGGGGAGTGCTGCCGAGGGCATGGCGGCAGCGGCTGGTGTGAGAATGCCACAGCCCTTGGATGGCAGCGCCTGCTCTGCAACAGGCTGCTAATGCCTACAAGAGATTTACGTGGATTGCGTTCACCATGAGGACATATAAGCCCTCTTATTCCTATTCTCATGGAATTGGGACCAGGTAGACCAGGGATGACCTGGACATTTCATATAGGTTAAGTCAAAGGTGAACAAAGGTGTAAGAAATCCTGGGAGTGACCCCAAGGCAAAGGCAACTGTGAGTTAGAAACAGATTGGGCCAAGCAGAAGTCTCAGGTCCAGCGAAGGATCAGGACAAGTCAGTATGCCACCCAGATAGCCTATCCCTCATCTAGGGCCACCAGATCCTGAGGGCTGGGTGAGTTTCTGGGAGCTCCTGCGTGGGGGAGCCAAGCCCTGTGGTCATTGTCTTAGGTGCGATCTATCTCCGAGTATTCCTTTATTTGGAAACACCCAGGGATTTCTCCAGGTTTTATTTCCCACATAGTTGACCATCACTCCTTTTCTCTTTTTCCTTGTTCCTCCTCACCACAACCCCCATGGCCAGATTTAAAAGATCAAAGGTCGGCAAACACATGGTTCGAATCCTGCCTCCCTCACACACTTGCTGTTAGAACTTGGGTGAACTATTTAATCGCATAGTCTCTTTTTCTGTAAAATAGGGACTTGCATGCTTATCTCAACAAGCTGATGTGAAGATTAAAGGAGCTAATGCTGATAAAGCACAAGGCCCAGTGCCTGGGTCATAACATACACATTGCCTGGTGCCCAGGTCATAACATACCAAATGCTTCACATTCGTTTCTCTTGGAACAGTCTTCCCAGGTCTGCAGGGGAAACGAGAGTTAACAACTTAACAGTATGGGGATACTTTAAAGGTTCTTGGAATTCAAAGTATTCTTGTAATTACTCATTGACCATATTCCCTGACTTTGTCTAAATGCTCTCAAGCACATCTCCCCATTCCTAGATCCAGTGCACTGATTCTTCTTGGTTTGGTTACTAGAACAAGCTCTCAGGCTTGCCTTTCAGAGCTAGGCTCTGCATTCGCTCTCCTACTGTATTGTGTCTTTTTATTCTGATGCTTTGATGTCTTGGGCTGTCAACCTACAAAAACAGAAACCAGTTTAAGAGGCAAAGCATTTATTTGGGATCAAAGAATTGAAATTTGGGAAGCACAGATTCAGGTAGAAACCCAAGTAGGAGTAAAAGTCAGGGGCTTTTAAAGGCAAAGAAAGGAGATTGTATTACAGAGATTTCAGTTGGAGCTGGAGGTGGAAGCTGGTCTTGGCTGAACATTGACTGACTCTTGATTCAATCTTCAGCAAGTCCACAATCCTCAGTCTTGGCAATCAGGATATCCGTTCTCCTGCTGACTTCTCAAATAATTGCTTGTAAAACAAGTGCCAGTTTGGCCCAGTCCAGAGGTTTGGCCCAGTCCAAGGTTCAAGATGGCAAAGCAGTTTCTCTGGAAAGGCAGCTCCAACTCCTTTTTAAAAGGGCTCCACTCAAGTCATTTCTGACAAGGCCTTGCTGATGCTGAGGGAACCACCCCTCCCAGGGTTAGCCAGTTCCTAGACAAGAAAGGACTCACCTGTGAGTGTGCCTTTCCTGTGCAAACCAAGCAGTACAGGGCCCACACCCCAGCCACCTCCTTTATCCGGCTGTCACTCTCCAAGCTACTACTGTGCTGCCCTACTGACCCCAGGGCCAGGTGCTCAGAAGCCAGTCCTAGGCCTATTTACCCTGCCCTCCCTGTTCCTTCCTGTGGAAACCCCAATGAATGTGACCGCTCGGAATTCAGGGAAAGCTGTACTAAAAATGTGAAGTAATGTGGTTATAATCTCATATTGGGTAGTAGGTCATGTGCTACCTTTTTCTGCCTCTAGTGACCTAACAAGGGTATTAAGTGACAGCGCTCAGTAGATGGTGCAATTGAACAAGCTGGCGTTTGGAAAGGTGAAGAGATTATGACCTGATGTTTTTCATAGGGAACAGTTATAACCATGATGATTAGCAAAAATTCCCTTGGCCGACTGTTTCCTGTGCTGTACTACTATCGCATATAACATCTTCCTGTACATGATGCTGAATTCTAAGTGAGCAGTGTGAGTGGCCCTGTTAGCACCTTGACCAAGTTAGGCTCATGCAGGAGGACAGAGTGGATCAGACGCTGGGCTGTCTGCCAGTACTCGCCAGCTCAGAGGGATTGGCCGAGAGGAGGACGGATAGTTTGAGAAAGTTAATTCAACATACTTATTCCTTTCAGAATTTCAGTTTTATGAAGCAGGGCTTGATAAGGTGATCTTGGCTTGTGAGAATATGCAGAGGCCGATGTGAGGAGACATTATAGGGGATACGTGTCTTAAAAAAAGATTGAGAAACAGTTCTAACAATATGAAATAATAAAAAAGAAAGGATCATTATAATTTGAACTCTAGGGCCAAAAAAGATGACTCAGGAAACTTAAAAACTAAACAGTAAACAGTGCTAGGGAAAAGGAGACGTGCAGAAATGGAATAGTAGGGATCAGTTAGAGTTAGGTATCATTGATATGACTAGTTTGAGGAGTAAAATGAATAAGCACATGTTTTAGAGTCACAGGAAGTGAACCCTGCCTGAAAATTGTTAATGCTTAGAAAAGAAAGCATTCTTAATAGGAATTCCTAAATTGG